TTTTTAATTTTTTTAATTTTTTTAATTTTTTTAATTTTTTTAATTTTTTTAATTTTTTTAATTTTTTTAATTTTTTTAATTTTTTTTAATTTTTTACGACATAATAACATATATATGACGTGACGCGAGGATATGGGGATATGAGGAGATGACGTGATGTTTGGATTTATATTTAGAATTCTTTTCGGAGGGAACTATTAACAGTCGGGCTGACATTGACTAATAATTCCAAATGATTTAAATGTTTCGTAACCTTTAACTTATTCGTTCAAAAAATAAAAAAAATAATAATATTAATTGCTAATGTTGTACATGCATCGAAAAAGGATCTGGTTAAATTTGCTAAAATTGGATTGTAAGTAGGTACTAAATATACTTTAGATTAAAATTAATAATTCCGAACCAACCAACTTAAAGTTAATTCTGAATCTATTTTAGTGTTTCATATCTTAACTCCTGGAAGTCTAATATCGGTGACAAAGTTAGAATAAGTGTTACAGAAATTTCCTTTGGACGGACGAAATACACGTATCAATATCAAGAAATGCCAAGTATGTCTTGGGTCATTGGACATTACGCGATAAAAACAAAAACTTTGTTAACTTGGCAAGAGTAATGAGTGTTAATGATTACTAATTTCAAATGCACTTTGACCTCACTTACGTTAATTTACTTATTTAGATTCATTTTCAAAATTATTTTTAAATTTACTTTTTTAATCCATTCATTAATGTCGAGGAAATCGAATTCCTTGACTGAATTTAATTTAAAATTTCCTTATAGGGATACTTGATCTCGAACAAGAACTTTTATTTTTAACACAGAATAGTAAGGATAGTAAGGATAGTAATGATAGTAATGATAGTAATGATAGTAAGGTACATTATGTCGCAAAATGGAAAATTTTTACCGGAGTTGACTAATTGTCTTTTGTTGCACAATTTTGCCTAAACAACTTATAAGAAAAAATCCAAGACACAGCCTAATATTAACACTCTTAGAGATGTTAATAATCGGCCTAAATAACTTATACCGACCTTAATCCAGGAAACACAAAATTTACTTTCGTGTATACAATAGTTACACAACTGAATTAATTTGCTTATGTAATTATAATCCAGAACATTTAAAACAAAACTTTATTATTAAAATTGGTATTATACCATATGTCTTCAATAACTGAAAAAGAAATGGTGGAATCCTATACTCATTTTTTTGTTACGAATGTTTAGGTCATATATTTATCGTGTGATCAATTTTAGTCATAAAAAAAACAAATTGAATCAATGAGATATGTTTATATATGTATAATAATAAGGTCGTCTAACGAAACTCGTGCGTGGCTGAAAAAAAAAACAAATCGAATTTAATGGAGAATCAATGAGCGAATCAAAGAGTTATTTTTATATGTATATAATAAAGTCGTCTAACGAAGCTTTTACATGGCGTAGTTTTATTATACAACGATAAATTAACACAAATTAACTTTTGATTCTATAAATTGCCTGATAATGTATACCTCAATGATAATTTGATCATTATTATACCTAAATCATGAGTATTATGATTATGTAATGAATGTAGCAAAATTTTTGCCCTAGCCCGAGATCGGATTTGTAATCATCTTAATTTGTCGAACAGACAAATAGGCAAAAGAAATGTCTCGGACTGGTTACATACTTTAAATCGAATGCATAAAATAACTATGTACGTTCGGTAAATCATAAAAAACTACCATTACTCATTATTCATTTAACTCCATTTTCAACTTTGTCACGAGAAATTTTGAGCCTTTGTTTTTTTTAATTATTAAATCTCATGACTTCAAATAACTATTCATTATACGAATAAAGAACCTCATGCATAAATTATTTAATTTCTGTGAAAAAAATGCGTAAATGCTAGAAGCAATAAATTTGAATAGAGGCAAATGATGCATATGCATGATGTCATCTTACGTTTAACAGTTTATTAACAAGGATTCTTATTGGCTTAGCGATTGACGCCAGAAATTGTTTTTAGAAATGTACCAATAAATCATAAAATAAGTCATGAATAAGGTATGAAATAAATTATGAGATTATTAAAAGTTATAGATGTCCGGAGATTTGTAATAGATCGAAGATGCATATAATGCAAAGTTTTTTTTTTTCTTACATTGTTACCGTTTCAGATAGAATTATCCTATTCTATATAATTTTTTTTTTTTTTTTTTTTTTATAAATTATGAACTAATCAAAATTCTTATCTCAAATTTCACGTATTATAAATGTTTTTTGAGATCCAAAGATTTTTGATATTCTGTTTAACTGGCTAATTTTAATTGGTTCTTTCAAACTTTCTAAACTAGGTTAAAGATCTTGATCAAGACTTTGGTGTCCAAAAGGTTAAATATTTGTTGGACTAAAAAAAAAATTTTTTTACTCTATTATCTTATCCCTTTATTTGTCAATAGATTGGCACTTAAATAGATCAAATAATCGTTGTTCTTTATAACAAACAGGTTTATTTTGTCTACGTTTCCTTATCTTCATATCACGCCAACTTATATGTTTTCAAACGTGATTCATGTAGGTATTATGGCGCACAAAAAGACCCTGAAGAAGCCTATCGAAACAATATAGATAGTCGTACAGTAACATCGTAGGAAATCAAATTCTCATTAAAATTCTTTTAAAAATTCTTTTAAAAATTCTTTAAAACAATTTTACTCTAATTATACAAAGGTTTCATCATGAATTTATTATATGCAGAATATTGATTAGATCGTTTTACCTAAATTAATCGATCTTTTAAGCAGTACAATAAATTAGAGATGCAGTATCGGCATCTTCTCAAATTTTCATGGTCACGTGACCAAACAACTGAAAGTCATTTTCTTTACTAAATTATATATATTAAATTATATACGAATTATATTTCGAATTATATTTCGAATTATATTTCGAATTGTATACGAATTACATACAAATTATATACAAATTATATTACAGATTATAAAACCCATTTTTATAATAAATTCTATATATATATATATATATATATATATATCCCATGAGTAAATGTTAATGCTTGATAACGTTCCAAAAGAAATGATTAGGAAGATTGGCGTATTTTCTAATACTCGAATGGAATACTTTTTAACTATTTTAATAAATAAATATTTATTTATTCTGCGCAAAATAACCAAAACAACCAAAGTTAATACCTGTTCTCTGACCAAGAAGCTTGTGATTCTTAATGCGCGTACTAACTATATACTAACTATATACTATACAAACCTATTTTATTTAAAACTTTATCCGCATTAAATTATTCAATTTGATTTTTGATTCTAAAGTAAAACTTTATCACAAATATGAAACTGATATAACCTAATTTGGAATTATTTTAATTATTTTAAGAGTTTGGTCAAGTTACGGTGAAATTTAAATTTTGCAATTGTTATTTTGTGATATTTAATATTTTTATATATAATTACATATAATTATATTTACATATAATTATATTTTCACATATAATTATATTTTCACATATAATTATACTTATATATAATGTTTACTTAATACAATTATATTTACATATAATTATATTTACATATAATTATATTTTTACATATAATTATTCTTTTTAAAATAAAAAAATAAATAAATAAAAAAAAACTCCCCGAACAACTATGAGATAAGCATATACAATAAATGTAAATGTGTTTCAATTTATTGTTTCAGCTCTTATCGACCATTTATAATTCGTGTATTTAATAGATTATGGTTTAAATTAGGGGGCACATACAATTCGAACCATCTGAAAAGACATTCTGGAAAAATTTCACAATGCGACAAAGTGATATGGTCGCATGAAACATATTCATTATTACGAAAATGGCCTGATATCAGATACAGCCCCTTTTATAGATATGTATGCTCGTATTTTCTTATGTTCTGATTAATTATGTTACATTTACAATTTTTTTTTTTTAGGACCTTTGGCAGCTCTGATCCAGTCGATCTTTGCCTTAAATAAATCTTTGAGTTATTTGATTGATTCTTTTTATATCATTAAAAAAAAAAAAGTGTGATTATATGAAAAGTAAAATATAATTAATTGGATCACTGTAATTTCGGGATAAGTACGAATGAAGCACGTATGAATGAAGTACATACGATAGTTTCTGTAAATGAGCAAAATGTTCAAACTATATCAAACTATATCAATATAATGATTAACTATACTGATTAACATACTGATCAACATACTGATTTGGGTTTCAAGGATACTACACTCTGTAAATGCATTAATCGTCCATATATTCCATATATCCCATATATTCACAATATGTACATTTAGAGAGAGATCTTTCTACACTTGTAATATCGGAAATTTATTAATCCGTGCATGATTTAAAAATTTTTTTTTTTTTATTCATTATAAATTTCATTTCCATCAACAATGAGTAAAATGATACCAAATAGGAATAGAAAGAACCGATCGATTTTGTTAATCATTATAACTAAATGTAATATTGAATATCCGAAATATCAGGTTAATTAATAATTGAAATGCGATTTCGATTAATTTCAAATACCCATTATTTAACTACATAAGAAAAAATATATTTATTATTAAAGTTGCATTTTTATACATGTATTCAATCAGCCAATCAAAATAGTGAATAATGATCTGCAATAACCAATCAAATTCGTAATTGCCGAATAACGTCAATACTGCAATACTGCAACACTTGAGCTTATGGCGCAGCAGAGTTTTTTTAAAGTTCGTTTAGTGTTTATGTTGTAAGTGGAAACGGAATTTAAGTGGATTCGGAATTTATATATAAAACCCCGTTTTGGGGTTAATTTTATCATTTTATCATATGTACACCCTAACCCTAACCCTAACCCTAATTTAACTAGGAAATTCCAAATCCACTTAAATTCTATTCCCACTTACAACATTTATACTACGGTTAGTAATGCGGTTAATAATACGGTTAATAATGCGGTTAATAATTTGATAATGCGGTTAAAATTTAAAAAAAATTTAGCAGGTTATAGAGTAAAATTTGCCAGCGAAAACTTTTTGTTAGAGCGTTAAAAATGGATTCTTATGTAGAATATGTAGAATTTCGAGAAACAAGCGATTTTTGACATAAGGAACGTTTGTTTTGAATTTTCTTGATTGTGTTACGTTGTACCTGATCTTGAAGTCTGATTGGTAGTTCAGTGAATCTGCGCCACAAACCTGGCATACGTTCAAAGGGCGCACAAGACATTATCAAGACAATTAATAATTATATCCTTCAAGACAATTAATAATTATAATTCCCTTTTTTCGTTTTTGTATACGTTTTCGAATCTTCAATATTTCTAAATCATTATTTCTGTATTTCGTACGATCTCGAACCACAAAAATGATGTCATATGATGTATGCTATCACAAAAAATGACTGTATTTATCCCATTCAACTAAATTTTGATCACCGGAATGATGAGCCTCATGACATAAATAAAACAGTGAAATATTACGAATTAGATGAATTATATATGAATTATTATATGAATTATTATATGAATTATATGAAAGCATATATTTATATGTAGTATTATTTATACACAGCATTTGATTAATGATTATTTTTTATATCGTTATGCATTGGATAAACACTAATGGTTTTATTTGTCCGGTTCGTGAAATACAACCTTACATTCTATGTCATGTCGTATATAATCTACGTATGTCGTAATAATATAATATGGGTTACAATAGTGAGATTTTTAATTTAATTTCTATAAATATAATGTTTTAATAAAAACTGTAAAATTTCATCATAGCATATGGAAAAAAAATATTGAGGGGTTTTTTTTATGCAAAATTTTTTGAAAATAAAATTTGATTAGTTCCAAATAATTCATAAATAAATATATCATGACTCATCAGATATAAACGTTGTAACAAATAAAAATAAAATATTAAACTCGTCCGGTCTATTCCGGAATCAATGGAAATAAAATACATCATTATGCAACCTATGCAACCTATGCAACCTATGCAACCATGGAATAAATACTATTAATCAATTTTAATGGTATAAAATCACGAGAATATTTATAAATTGTTTGTTAAAAAATATTCGTGTAACTTATAAATAACAATCTTATAATTGTTCATGATAACGCATTTTATATATATCTGATATATATCTGATATATATATATATATTTTTACTATTAATACAAAAATTAATAACAGAAACACTGCAGAAAATATGTAACGATTTGAATATTTGATGTTTGATATTTGAATATTTGAATATTTGAATAGTGATATAAATTAAATAACATACGTAATATTTATAAATAAGAGTAATATATGTAATATAAGAGCAATAATGAAATAATAAACTAATGAAACTGTGGACTGTGATAGCAATAATTAATATTAATATTAATAAAATCATATGTAATAATAATAATAATAATAATAATAATAATAATAATAATAATTTGTGAAATCTTACAGTATCTGAAACATCCGAACTAGTTTTTGAACGAATTACGTGAAGAAAAGTGGCACCGTGTATTTGGTTTAGCGCAAATACCTTGGTAACGATCTTGGTAGCGGATTATTGCATCACCAATGTGTTTATATTGGTAACGATCTTTGGTAATGGATTGCCGCGTCACCTAATCAAAATGTTTGTATATGAATATTTCTATAAATATATTATATATTATCTACTATGAATGTATTATACGCTATTAATGAATATTAATGAAAGTTGTCCTCTATGAATAATGAGTAATGAATATACTGAATGCTATAAGCATACTGAATATTACTATGAAGATGAATGAATGCTATCTAATACTATAAATTACTACCAATTACTATCAATTATTATAAATTATTATGAAATGAACACATGTTAGCGATCAATCGATCAATCATATCACGCTGTGTGACAATTTACTAAAAATAGATACCTGCAACTAATAATATGCTAATTGACGCGTTGCGTGATGTCGGCTAATTATTGCCGACCGTTAGTAAATTAGCGTTAGTAGTTTTAATTAATTAATTTTAGTATATTATTTAGTATATTATTTAGATATATTATTTTAGATATATATAGTTAATAACCATATAACATATATATAGCTAATAACCATATAACATATATATAGCTAATAACCATATAACCATATAACATATATATAGCTAATAACCATATAACCATATAACATATATATAATTAATAACCATATAAGCATATAACATATATAATTAATAACCATATAACCATATAACCATATAACTTATATCAAATAAAATAACAAGTATATCACGATGTTATTTTCACGTTAATGTCTCTAATAAGTGTACCAGTGAAATGTAATGAATTATACGTGATTGTATTTGTATATATAAGATTATGTACGTACGTACGTACGTACGTTTTTTTTTGTGTTGACAAACGTGGATCAGATTCGATTCACTAAGCATGTCGCTTATCCCAATCATGCAATGCATAGATTCTTTTTGACGTTACGTTCGTGTAAAATTATTTTTAATTTTTTTTTTTTTAATAATATATCGTCAAATTTCTTTATTACACAAACTATTATGATACTACTATGATTGGTTATTTTTACTACAATGACAGAATGCATAAAAATCCAAAAATTTAATTTAAAAATGCTACTACGCAAATGTTTGTACATAGGCAATTTAAATAATTGAAAATAGAGTCATTTAGTCATAATATGCAATCTGATCCAACCCATATGATTTATTTTTCGAAATTTTTAGAATGAATTTTTGTTTCCATTTTTCATTCTGTTATATTAAGATAATATAGCGGGAGACATTTAAATATTTCTTGGAGATGTTCATTCATAAGATCTGAAAGAACAAAATATTCACGCGTAAATTTTTATGTAAACTTTTATGTGCATAAACCTTTGTGCATATATTTTTTTTAAAATAACAACTTGAACCAATAATTCAATAATGGTAATATGCATTATACAAGGGTGTTGAAAATAATGTATGCGTTATTGCGGGGATTACATTACAAAAACATTCTTGTGCAAGAAACAACAAAAGATCTTAATAGTTTTCAATATCTTTCATTATGCTTATATTATGCTATATTATTGGTCTTTCCAATTTTTGTTACCTAAAAACGCACCTCATAAATACTTCATAAATGAAAAATGAAATCATAAAGCAAAAAGAAATAGTCTCTTTATATTGGTTCTATATCAGTTATCAAATAATTTTTTATAATTTTTTATATATATTACATATATTGAAAAGTGCATCATTATCTATGACCAAACAATTTAACGAAAAAAAAAACCGTCTGTCCATTCGGGTATGCATTTTTTCACGTGCACGTTATAAAATGTTATAAAAAATTAAAAAATGAAATAAAAAAAGTAGAAACAATGTCAATCAACCGATCTGTATATTTGACAGCTTAACAAATGTTGAGTTCTTTACCGTTACGTAAAGCTAATTTGTAATCACTTTTTTAGCATCAAAGATTTATACTAGGGTATATCTATTTTATGACCCTCAAAAATTTTCTAGTCACACGTCTATGTAGTTTATGTAGTTGGTTATAATATAAAATCTATAAATAAAAATCAAAGAACTCTGCATATTTAATTTATAGTATAAATTTTTTATATATCGTTTATGTTTGTGTGTGATATACGAAGTGTAGCACACATACGTACATAAAAAAATTTTTTTTTTTTTATTTTTCTTAAAATAAAAATTTTTTATAAAAACTGAATAAATAAAAAGAAAAAAAAAATAAAATAAAATATGAGGAAAACGTTTATAGTGATTATATCAATATTTATATGATTTATGTACTAATCCCATAATAAATAATAAAAAAACAGGCAAGTTTCTGTTACTATCATCTTGAATCTTTCGTGAATGGTCGCCTTTTAATCAATTGTTCCATGTCTTCCATAAAGAAAATTTTCACTTTTCACTTTTCACTAACTAAAAACTTTCTTTTTTTTATTTTTTTTTTCCTTGAATGTTTAAAAAAAAAAGACTTGACCGTAGAGTTTTAGAGAATAAGCAAAAATAATACTTTAAGACTAACTACAGGAGGTTCAAGTTTAATCAAATGACTAATACAACTTCAAATCCTGGTAAAAGACCACCATCAGGGCCTGTTGATGCTGCTACTTCACGCGAAAAAAGATTAAAAACAATAGCTTGTGATAGATGCCGACGGAGAAAAGTTAAATGCGATGGAGATGGTTATAATCATCTACCTTGTAAATATTGCACTTCTGTGGGGCTTGAATGCACATACGGAAAAAACGCTAGCCGTACAAATACCAATCAATCTCAAATAGCATCATCTAAAACAAATGTTTCTTCACAACCTATTCGTAATCCAACTCGTTCAAAATCCACATCTGCGACAAACGGTCCGCAGTCAACATCTCGTCAAAGAAGAGGATCTCAATCTAATCAAAGTACGAGAACAGCAAAAAAAGCAACCTCTTCTACAAGCACGTCATTTTCTATCGTTACGTCTTCTTCGAATACAAACACAAACTTAAATCGAATTATTCCCCAAGTATTACCTATACTTGATAATGATTTTGAATATTTGGTTAAATTGTTTTCTTCCATGTCTTTACAAAATGAAGATCAAGTTCGTCAACAATTTAGTCATTATATATCACAAGTTCAAGATGAAAAAGAAACTATTTTGAGACCTCATATACATGATATACAAAAATTAGATGAATTTTCTCATAGATTTGTTAACTCGTATTTCGATAATTTTCATCCTACATTTCCAGTATTACATAAAGCATATTTTAATGAACGACTTAGAGATACAAATAAAACAATGCCCCGTATTTTATTATATGCCGTTTGTGCGATAGGTTCAAATTATTTAGATGATTCAATGGCTAGAAAAGATCATAACGATTCTCATATTCTCGGTTTAGAATATTACGAACATGCTCAAGGTAATATCCTTTTATCCCTTTATCCCTTATCCCTTTGTCCCTTTATCCCTTTATTTGGAGTATATCGTTAATATATCGTTCATCTATCGTGTGACAATTTGGCCATTTACAATTTAAGACAATTTATAATTTGACTATTTGACAATTTGATTGTATTCAAGTACTAAACTATAAACTTTTTTTTTTTTTTTAACATTTAAACCATTTAAACCATTTATACAATTAAAACACATTTACATATACTGAATCTAGATTTGATTAGTCAAAATCTTAATTATCCAAGATTAAGTACCGCTGTTGCACTTTTTCTCTTAGGAATGTATGATTCACGAAGTTTTAAAGGTTGTACATACATAGGAATGGCCACAACATTCGCCACCGCAATGAGATTACAAGATAAGAATGCATCCGAAGGTTTGTCCACTAATGAAAAAGAAGCCAGAAAAAGAGTAATCATCATTTTTGAACAAAAAAAAAAAAAAAAAAAAGAATTTTTCATTTAATAATATATTTTTGTTGATTTTTATTAATCTTATACGTATGATTTTTTTTTCTAGTTATGGTGGAGTATTATGGCCGTTAATAATATACAATCAGTAACCTTGAACCGCATGTCAACTATTTCGGATAAATATTGTACAATTGAATTTCCAGAATTCGAATCATTATTTACGCTCGACGAATTCGAATCCAAAATTATAAAATATTTCATACAATATTTTAAAATTACAAAAATAATGTATGAAATATTAGAAATTAACTTTTCTGAGACTAATAATAATATTGAAAGATCTGAAGAAAAACTAAATAATTGGGAAAAAGAATTACCACCATATTTACGAATAGAAAATTGTGAACCGTTGACGTTATCCACGGAAATAACAATTGAACACCTCCGGGTCTATTTATGCATTCTCTATAATTATGCAATGATTAGAATTCACTATATTAATATTACGTCAGATCACAGCATGGCAACCTGTGCAAAAGCAGCAAATACTATCACAACATTTATAAATAAGAATTTCTTGATCATGATTAGTAGCACACCATTTATTATTCATTACGCACTTTATGCAGGATTTATTCATATATTAAATCTCAAGAAACCAATGTGTGCTACTGTAGCCAAAAATAATGTTATACAAACTCTCAAATTATTTCAAGATATGCTCGGTATGCAATCTTTACAATCTATACATTCGACCATAAAAAATTTGATTGCGATTTTCACATCTCAATTAGAATGTATGGGAGATATTGACGATGAAATTTTAAATGTTGCTAAAGCTGCTTTGGCATCAATTTCTTGTAATTCTAACAAATTTTTAAATTGTAACGAAACTTCAACAACGGAAGGAGGCATCAGATCTAATAATAATAATAATAACATTCTTAATAATAATAATAATAATAATAATAATAATAGTAATAATAATAATAATAATAATATGAACAATGATAATTCAACAACAAAAACGCAAACAATTCAACAACCTGCTATCAGCATGCTTCCACATACAGTATCTACAAGATCACCACAATATTCACCAATATCTCCAGTAACACCTTGGATATCGCATCAAAGTCATCAAACAAATCAACAACGTCAATCAGTTTTTGCTACATCGCCAGCACCATTATCACCAATAGATCCACCGCCGGTAAATTCGAATAAACATGATTCAAATTCAATAAATTCAATAGGAAATTCTACATTGCTAATGGTTGATAATTATTCATCTCAGTACGGACATTCACAGCAGCATAATCAACAACAATCTTCTACACAATCAAGACAACATGAAAGTCCTACAAATGTTTCAAATGTTTCCAATGTTTCTAATGTAACTAATGTAACTAATGTTCCTAATGTTTCTAATGTTCCTAATGTTTCAAATGTTTCAACTTGGGGACATTATCAATGGTCACCATCGCAACATCATCATACAACGTCACAGAATGCATCAATTTCACCAAATTCTAGTGATACATCAGCTTTATTAGTTATAGGGAATTCTACAGGATCATCTACTTCTTCATTAACTATAGGTAGAAATGCGACATCATCGTTAACAATGCCGGCATCATCATCATTACCACCACTTGGAACAGCAATAACAGCTACTAATACAACATCACCATCATCAATGTATTCATTTCAAAATTCACTCCCATCGATAACATATTCACAATTTCAACCAGCTCAACAACAACAACAACATCCATCACAACCTAGACAATATTATTTAGCATCTAATAATACAAGTCCACCATCTAATAATATGTCTAGTAATATGAGTATTGGAGGAAATTATGTTACAGGAACAGAAATTTCGGGAGGATTAGCTGGAATATCACCAATTGCACCAATTGGTGGAATTGGAAGTGAAAATTCCGCTCCAATGTTGGGGGATGATGGAGATATGACACATAATCATCATCATCACCATCATCATACGGCACAAAGAAGGACGCCAACAACACAATACCACTGGTCATATTAAATGTACTGTACACACATCTATCTCATCTTGAAAAAAAATAAAAAAAAAAATTGCATAAAAAAACATTTATAAAAAAGAAACAAAATTTTTTTTTTAATTCG